GTGGGGGGGATTGGCGGGACCGTTTTTGGGGGGGGGGCCCCCTTTTTTAAGGGGGAAAAAAAAAAAAAAAAAAGAGCCAAGAATTAAGAGCAAAGCAACAGCTCAGCCTTGATCACCAGCTCCCGTGTGCTTGTGTGTGCGAGAGGAGGGATGATTGGGCTGGACTGATACCGACTGTGCTCAGCATAGCAAATGTGGCTGGCAGCAGCAGCGGCGGTGAAGAAAGAGATGAGGGGGTGGGTGGTGGTGGTGGGAACGGTGGGGGGGTAGTGGAGAAGAGGAGGAGGAGGAGGAGGAGGAGGAGGAGGGAGAGGGAGGGAGGGAGAAGAGGTAAAAATAGCTCACCCTTTTGTGTATAGCAGCACATGCGGAGCACACGCGCACGCGTGCAGAGACACAAGACACACAGCTGCTGCCGTAGCACTGCTCTCCTATGTGTACGCGCACGTGTCTATGCATGGCTGTCTGTGTGTATATGTATGTGTGTGTGTGTGCGTGTGCGTGTGTGCATGCACAAGCGTGTAGGCTGTAATTATAGTGGCAACATGAAAAGGCTTTTGTAGCTGCCGAGCCCTGGGAAGGCATAGCTATAAAAAGCCGAGTGACAGAAAGAGGGGAGGCAGAGGAGTGGGTACAGAAGGAGTAGGAGAAGAAATAAAGAACGGGAGGGGGCAGAGGTATGAGGGGGAGTGGGTAAGAAACAACCGAGCTGTGCAGAACAGGGGAGAAGAGACGACAGGGTGTGAATGACATGCATCACGACTACACACAAACCTGACTACACTGACATGTTCTCCAGAGAAGCTGTGTGTGTGTATCTGTGGTAACTGTATTCACAGGCAGCTGTATATATTCTTACTGTCAAACTTATTTCAAAATCTTTCAAGATGGCAATTAGTCCAAAGATGAAGATGAAAACACATGTAAAATCCCTTTGGACAACAACAGAGAAGGAAACTGGAGAGATGATTGGGGGGAGGGGGTTCTCCGTGTCTGATCTATTTCTGGATTTCACTGGAGAACAAACAAACACTTAATTAGGAGGGAACCAGGAAGGACCCAGAAGTTAGAACCAGGAGGCTGGAAAAGCGTAAGTGAATTTCTGTGTCATTTTAAATATGCAACTTTGAACAACTTTTCTGTAACACGTGGAGATTTCTAAAATATGAGTCACAGTGAATTGTTCGGCGAGTCCTTTATAAGAGTTACAGACACAGAGGAGTCGTCGCAGTTGGATCTCGTTACATTCTCAGAACAGCTACATCTGGACGGGAATGCGATTAAAAAAAACTCCCCCATATGACTGATTAATTAACTCCATCGTGCACAGACACAGAGGTACTAATTACTGATCTGAAACAGTTTAGTGGAAATAAACCTCTAGAAAGTTCTGTAAAACTTTAAACAGTTCGGTGTCCATCCAGGAGATGTGCTGAACTTTCTCCTCAGCAGCTAACTACATGTTGGATTCAAGAAGTTAATCAGCACCAACTCCTGACATCATTCTTATATTCTTATTATATATGTTATATGTTATTATATATGTTTATTCCTTGTATTTGTTTTTCAGTTTAAACCTTTTTCCTAAACTCACTGCGCTGTCTTTGTTTACTTGTTTTCTGGGGAGCGACCCTCTGCTGGAGGATGTTAGAGTCCCGCTCAAACTGAGTGAAAATTCAATTAAACCTTTTACAAAAGACCTGTGGTTCAGTTGAAATGTGCGGCTGTTTATGCAAATACTGCTTCAAACTTTATTAACAGACAGGGACGAGTCCTAACGATGAAGGCGTGATCTCTGCCTCTCTGAAACAACAATTCCACATCAGTGGTAGCTGATCTCTCCTAATACACCCATTCAAATGAGCTGTGTTTTGCAAAGTAAATGAGGTCTATCTCCTGCGATCACACCTGTGGCTCCGGGTAATTCTACTCCTGTTTTTGCACAAATTACTGGTTGCTCCTTTGCCTTAACCGTGGGAATGAGGGGATGGACATCATTGTCTGTGGTCTTCAAGCAAAGTGCAGAGCCCTTGGGTCCAAACCGCACAGCTGATACGTGAGACGCACATGGAGGGACCACAGGTGTGTGAGGACACACACAAACAGTCGGAGCGGGAGAGCGGGACAGGGAGGAAGGGGTGTGTCCACACACCGACACACACACACATACACACACATACACACAAAAAGCCAGCACACTTGCAAACAAGTGATTTATACCTTGGCAACAGAGAACATCAATTTTGAATGTAGCCTAGTTACCCAGCAGCTCCCTCCTCCCCTCTGCTGCTCCCTCATTCTTTCCTCCCTCCCTTCCTCTCTTTCCTTTGCTCTATCTCTTCATCCTTCTCTCCTCTTGGTCCCACTGGGCAAGCATCGGGAGACGGGGAGCTATAAATAGTCACAGCTAGCCTCAGGCGGAGAGTCGGTCGACTCCAGCTAATGCAGTGAGTGGTGCTCCAAAACATTCGTGTTATGATCGCCACTGTAAAGCAGGAAAGGATGTTGGCGTAACGAGCCAAGCAAACGGGGTTGACCTGTGTCTGCAGTGTAGTTTCTGCGGTTACATGAGGAGAAAAATGAATCCTGACTCCGAGCTAACAGCTAAGCTTATATGACATACTGTAAAAGAAGGGGACGTCCGTCCGTGACAAAGCCAAAGACGGCCTGACAAAGAATGAGAGGAAGGATGCTCCAGCCTCATTACATTCAGTGCACTTCCGTTCTGGCTGCTTCGTCCCAAATGACTCCAGCAACCAAGGTGATCCAGACAGGAACAATACAATTAATCAAATACGCCTCTCCTTGAAGAGCCTTTTTCCTCTGGGTCATAAATTTGCTTCCTGATGGCACGGGCTGACGTCATGTGGGCTTGAATGAGAGAAAGAGTGACCCCTGTGAGAGCACTCCCCTAATATGCATTTAATGAACCAGTAAAAACTTCATCTGACCCTCGTTTGTTGATAGAACAGTTGGTGCTCAAATCTGTCGTAAGCTGAAGAGCTTGTTGTTAGACTGAAAAAAATATTTTATTTTTGAGTTGGTAATGAGCATTTGTGTTACATCTAAGCATTCATTGCAGTTGACGTTAGGTGTCCAAAATACAGATCTAAAACCCAATTTACAAATACACATTTAGAAATGTTACTTGGACATAATTATTTAAAAAATAATTAAAATTTTCACATTACATTAAATATATATCTATCCATAATAAGGAGTTTTTCATAATGTCTTTAGGTCAAATTTTAAAATATCATGTGCAACAAGGGACAAAAGTTGGATAGTGAACTTTTTTTTTTTTTTGCTTTGGTTTGAAATTTAAAAAAAAAACCTGCATCTGCTCTACAGAAAGTTTAGTCCTAATCATAGATTATAGAAGTACCTACAGAGCTGAATACTGTGATAATAACATGAGCTGCATAGATTCAAGTGGCTCTCACCACCATCATAACAAAATGAGCGCCACAAAGAGACGGCAGTGTCATTAAACCGCACTTGTTCAGTGCTCTGTTATAAAAAAAAGGACGGCACATGAACAAAAAAACATTTTAGACTCTGGAGATGTTGTCATTATATGTAATGATTAGGAATTGGTGCATTAGTAGTTTTCGCATTTCAATTCAATTTTTATAATTGCAGAAATGTTGGCAAAGTTATGCTTTAAAACTTAGATCTTATTCAACTACAATTAGTGACATTTGAAAACTTGTATTTTTAAAGGACATCAGTGAGAGCGTTAGACTTATTTGCGAGACCTTGTGATGTAAAAAAACCATCAAGATTCTCTGCAGCTGATACATATACAGCACAAACAAAAGTCCAATATTTAAAAAGACAGTTAGTCGAGATAAATTTTAATTCGTTTCTGGATGTTTAGCTCAGACATGCAGGCCTGGGGTTGCTCATGTTGGAACACAATGTCAAAAGGCGCAGGGACACGGCACCGAGGTGGCAGTGTTGTCCATAATTGCCACTGACAGCTCATTGGCAGGACATAGTGTATCTAGTTACCCAGCTGGACAAGACAAAAGATCCCGGGACAAAAGATGTGTTCAATTTCTTTCATTAGCTTATTTTCCCACTGTGCTGTCTTTGTCCTAAAACCAATTAAAATGGCATTTACCCGAATATCCACCGTGAACAAATTCTATTATTTGGTGTTGTTGTTTTGGGTGGGTACACCGAGACATAGAGGGTGCTGCACCCCTTTAGCACATGAACAAAACAAAGCATGAACATGTGCCACATTAGTGGCTGCACAAAAGACCTCCTGATTTTGTTTAAGGCCAAGTTAGTGGCACATGCAAGAACAGCCGGCTGGGAACATCATCATTCTTTTTCTGGAGCTTTCGCAAAAAAGGTTGTGTTGTTGTGGGAACACGTCTGTCGTGGGGGTTAGCAACATGCACAGATGTCTCAACTTGTCTTTTTGGTTT